GGTATCAGCAGTTTCCCCAATACAACAAACTAGGCAGAAAGGCCTGGCGCTCTGTTTCTGAGAATCAGCCAAGAAAACCTCTTGGATCACCACAGTCTGATTTGCAAGGGATCGTGGGAGATGACCTAGGGCCTGTCAGTGTTTCCTTTGATCATCGTGAGTCAGGGGCTGACTTGATATTAACTTAACAACACCTATATGCCAGGTACAGTGTGGATATCCAGGGTCTGGAGCTGACTAAGGGTACTTTCTGACCTTAAGGAGCTACCCAGGGTAGTGGTCTTTTTTGGACTGCCCAGTTGGCACATTTTGAGTGGTATCTGACTGCACTTCACATTGGCGTTGGCTTCCCTGGAGACCAATAAGCCTGCAGGGTTCTTCTACTGTCATAGGCCTGCTACCCCGGCTCCTTCCCATGCATAGAAAGAAAGCTCTGATTTAGAGTTCTGCCCCCATTAACATGAATGCGCTGGCCCCTATGGTCCCCATTTAATCTTTCAAAGTTGCTGTTGCTAAGTGGATTCCGTGTGGTGGTGGTGGTGCTGGTGGTGGTGGGTGGTGTTAGGTGCCATCTAGTCAGTTCTGACTCATAGCGACCCTATGTGCAACAGAATGAAACACGGCCCGGTTCTCCCAACCCATCCTCATGATTGTTCTTATGTTTGAGCCCAGCGATGTGCTAATCCATCTTGCCAAAGACCTTCCTCGTTTTTGCTGGCCTTCCACTGCATCAAGCATGATGTCCTTCTCCAGAGACTGGTCTCTCCTGACTAGCTCTCCAAAGTATGTGAGAAGTCTTATCAGCCTTAAGAGAGTGCATTGGTCAAGGCAGACATTCTTCACTAATTAAAGGACTGTTGGATTGTAGGAAGACTTCAGAGGAAAGCCTTTCTGCTTTAAAAAGTTAGATTATCTCAGGCTGACTGTACTGTCTCTGGCTCCTCCTTAAGTTTTGCTTCTAAATTCAAAATCTCTTCCCAACAGTAAGAGCGAGAGCCGGAGAATCTGCAATCAACCTTTGAGGGGAAGTGACTAATCAGGGCTACTGCGGGTGATTATGCGGTTTGTGCATCCAGCCAAGATCCACAGAGGGCTGGAGCAGGCTGTCGTGGCAAAGTCACACCCCCACAGGCTGAGCATCACCCAGCTGTTGTTGTTCCTAGATACTGGTGAACTGGTGCCCTCGAGTGTGCAGATGCCATTGAGTTGATTCCGACTCATGGTGCCCTCAAGAGGGCAGAAGAGAATTGCTCCAGAGGGGCTTCTAGGCGGTTACGTCTGGGAAGCAGATCGCCAGGTCTGTCTTCGAAGTCTCCTTGGGGTGGATTTGAACCGCTAACCTTTGGCCGAATTTCCCAGCACTTAAGGCATTTGCACCACCCTTGCAAGCAAGTCTTTTCTTTTCTTTTTAAATCATTTTATTGGGGGCTCATACAACTCATCACAATCCATACATACATTCACTGTGTCAAGCATATTTGTACATTTGTTTCCCTCATCATTCTCAAAACATTTGCTGGTATCAGCTCTTCATTTCCCCCCCTTCTTCCCCATTTCCTCCCCTCCATGAACCCTTGGTAATTTTTAAAAATCATTTCATTATATTATTTTATTAGGGGCTCATACAACTCTTATCACAATCCATACATACATCAATTGTGTAAAGCGCATTTGTGCATTCATTGCCCTCATAATTCTCAAAACATTTCCTCCCCACTTAAGCCCCCGGCATTAGGTCCTCATTTTTCCTCTCCCTCCCCGCTCCCCCTCCCTCGTGAGCCCTTGATAATTTATAAATTGTTATTTTGTCATATCTTGCCCTGCCCGACGTCTCCCTTCACCCACTTTTCTGTTGTTCCCAGGGAGGAGGCTCTATGGAGATCTTTGTAATTGGTTCCCCCTTTCCACCCCACCTTCTCTCCACTCTCCCGGTGTGGCCACTCTCAGCACTGGTCCTGGAGGGATCATCTGTCCTGGATTCCCTAGCAAATCCTTTTCTAATTTAGCTCTTGGGTAGGTTAGAGGCTGGGGGCGTGTGGTAGTTAGATGAGTTTGTCAACTGGAAGATCTATGAAACTATAGGAGTGGAATCCAACCTGTCAATCAGGTCATCGCCTCCTTGGTGGTGCGGACTTCTTATAAGCAGAGAAATGGAGAACTTCCCTGATGCCCTGTCAGGTTTCCACCTTGGATCCATGCAACTCTGCATTCACTGGCCTGTGATCTTCCTGCTTCACTGGCTGACGACTACGTGAGTTTGAAGAGGGACGTATGGACCAGCATTGGATTTAGGGACTTGAGTTGGACTGGACTGAGACACCTTCTTGACATATAATTACTTCTTGATACACAGCTCTAATACATGTATATGAGTGTCACTGGAGATGTTTTTCTAGACAACATGGCCTAACACAGGGTGGAAGCACTTTTTCTGATTTGTACAAAGACTCCGCAAAGGTTAATGGTGTCAGACCTGTGATGAACAAAAGAAAGCAAGAGAACAGGAGCAGCAAAATAATCTCTCCCCATGAAGGAGTGCTTAGCACAGCCAGAGCTATTGTACTTCGGGTTGGGCTTTTAGTATCCTAACCAAGCCGCCCTTTGCAATCTGCCTCAATAAATGGCCAAAGGCAATTTAGAAGGGACACACTAGTCTAAAGAACAAGGTAGTCAGGCTGAGCTCTAAAGCAACTGGGCAAGTTTTAGAGGGAGAGCCCGCATTTCCCAACCTCAGCCTGATGCCCCAAACAGAACCTATTGCCACTGAGTTGATTCTGACTCACAGAGACCCTATAGGACAGAGAACAGCTTCAGGGTGTGTCCAAAGTTATCTTTTTTAAAAAATCATTTCACTGGGGGCTTGTACAACTGTTATCACAACCATACACCCATCCATTGTGTCAAGCATATTTGTACATTTGTTGCTGTCATCATTCTCAAGACATTTTCTTTCTACTTGAGCCCTTGGTATCAGCTCATTTTTTCCTTCCCTCCCTCAAGAACCCTTGATAATTTATAAATTATTATTTTTTCATGTATTATACTGCCCGAAGTCTCCCTTCACCCACTCTTCTGTTGTCCATCCGATTACAATCTTTACAGAAGCAGACTGCCATACCTTTCTCCCTTGGAGTGGCTGGTTTAAATCGCTGGCCTCTCGGTTAGTAGCCAAACACCTAAGCATGGTGTTACCAGGAATGCTTCCCAGCTTGGTAACTGTCCTTAAACCCTGTTTCCTCGTCCGAGGGTATCTGGTGCACTAGGGATGCAGCACATTGTGTTTCTGTCTCAGAACCACTGAGCTCAGAGTTCAGAGCCATGGTAGCCTGTTGAGCCAGAAACCTCAGGGTCAAGGGAAAAAAATAGGCAAGATCCAACTCTCTTGACAAACAAGTGGCTTTTAAGAGAAGCAAAGGGGAGCTCGTATGTTGGCAAGATGGGAGGAGTAGGGGCTTCAGCTCCCATCAAGGCCCACGTGCATGGGAGTAGAGGACTAGAAAAAGCACTCAGTGGAGTCCCCAAACCAAACCAACCAAACCCACTATGTTCATGTCGATTTCAACATAGTGACCCTGTGTCATTTCCAAGGCTCTAAACCTTTCTGAGAGCAGACCACCTCATGGTGGGTTTGAACCCCCACCTTGTGGTGAAAAGCCCACCCGTCCAAACTCCCTGCGATCGGGTGGATTCCACCTCCTAGTGCCCCTGTAAGATGAAGCAGACCTGCTCCGGTGGCTTTCTGAGACTGCACATCTTCACAGGGAGTAGAAAGCTTCGTCCTTCTCCCGCGGAGCAGCGGGTCATTTCTAATTGCTGGCCTTGCAGGGAGCAGCCCAGCTGGTAAACCACCAGACCCCCACAGCAGCCCACCACCAACCAACCATTCAAGGACACAAGGACACCCACAAAGAGGCACCAGGAAGCCAGGTTGGGATTGTAAGCTGAATAGATTTATTCATTCTTGTTTGAAAAACAAGACATAAATTAGTGTGTGTGTATATATATATATAATTTATATATTTTTATGTAGTATATATACTATATACAGACATTAGAAAATGGCTCCTCTCCATGAGGCTGTAGGAGAGGTGAAGGGAGGTGGTGGTGGAATGAGCCAGGCGGAGCTGAGTGGCGAATGCGCAGGATCAAGAAGTTGGGGGAAGAGGAGGACCCCCGGCAGCACTCTGGCTGGCAGTGGTCACAGGGGAAAGGGGTTCCCCACTGGCTGCATCTCCGGCCCATTCAACAACTTGGTCCTGTGGGATGAGAGGCAAGAAGGGAGGGGGGCTGGCTTCTGCAGAAGAAGCTCCCTTCATCCTTGCCAGGGGCAATCACCACTCAGAGGGGCCTTATTGCACGGGGCGGG